TTGTAAAAAAAGGTTTGAAAATTTTTGCAGAGCCAACTCAAACTTATGAGTATTAGGACAATTCTGTAAGCCATAGGCTGCTTCCAAGATACACTCAAACCATTGGTCCGTTACCGGTCATATAGTGAGGAACTTCTCCACAAGGACACACGTGGGTGCCAGCAACACGAGATGAAATTCGTTAAGCTAGGCGGGGGGGGGGGGGGGAGGAGCTTTGACGCATAAGCCGTGTGATAAAAAATCTTACAGTAGACATTCCCAAAGCACGTTTGCACATGGGAAAGTAATATCCAGTAAAAATATCGTTTCTTGGTTTTGACTCGTACATCAAAAATAAGAGTTCTTGAAAGTGTATTCCTGGGTTCTGTCCAGCACACTTAGGGCGTTTCTTGACATAACAAAATTCAGTGATATGGAAGTGTTTATTTGACATCTGTTCACGAAATGAAAAAGATTACGATCACTTCATGCGACCAATCATCAAAACAGTAAATGTAATAGATTATAGCAGATCTTTTTGATTTTGCCACCTCCTCCAATTGCCATTCATTCAACTTGTTATCGTAGTCATCCTTATGAAGATGTTCAAAGTGTCCATGTAGGTCAAAAATTGCCTGATAATGACTAAGAGGCTAACAATTATGTGAACTCCTCATTCCTTTTGCCATATGGTTGTTAAAAAAGAGTTGCTTATCCCACAACACCCGGAAGGTGGAATCGAACCACTGCGGCTGCTAACCGCCTACAGGTTTGAAGCCTGCACCCCGGACCACCGAAGTTCATCCGGGCAACGGTATACCACCTGTCGCTATCTCATATACCCGCACATACACTAGCGCCGTAGATGCCACAGCTCACCCTTGTTATTCACAAGAAGTTATATTTATTAGGTTGGTGCAAAAGTAATGCGCGTTTTGCGAGTTCTCATTTTGACGTGCTATAACTTTCTAAAAAACCCATATTTTTCAGCGCGGGAAAATCCATCAAAGGCACCAAACCTCTCTCTATACAGCGCACATTAATTTATGCTAACATCGCAAAACGATGAAAAAATATGGATTGATAAGCAAAAAAATTTTTTTTCGAAAACCTCGTCTTTAACTGATCAAAACTTCCTTCACGATTTGTTGGTATAAATGAAAAGTTGACCATCTTGTAGCCGCAAGCCAGTAGTACAAATAAAAGTTTAAAGGAGCCCAAACAAAGAAGATTTGAGAAAAGGAAAAAATAATATTGAAAATTGTCCGCTTTTTTCGACAATTTTTTGTGGGCCTCAAAAACTCAAATATGGACATTTTTGATTTTCTGTGTACTGAACAACTCCCACATTTCTGCAAAAACTGTCAACAGGAGATCTACCCTTACGCTTACAGGAGTGAGCAAAACTTTGGCGATTGCTTTCTTCAAAGGAAATTTATGGGCCACAGAATGTTCAAAACCATCACTCACGTTGGGGCACCGAAATCTCAGTCTAAATGATTTCTGGGATAACAGCAAACATGCATAACGTAGAAAATTTCTACTACATATAGTATTTTAAAAAGAATGCGTCTACTCGCGCTCAAATTCTGGCCAAAACAGTAAATGCAATGAAATTCTGATTTCGAGTGCGGTTGTATGAAGCTCTATAAATTTTTAACGATTGAGGCTAGAAGCTTCTTTCAAACACCATTGAATAGAGCATGAAAGAAGCTTCTTTAAAGTATGCTGTGTAAGTTTCATAGGAAAAACTTCGATGAAGAAAAGCTGTCTTGAAATAAGGGCTAGAAAAACGCGCATTACTTTTGCACCAACCTAATATTATTCATGGAAAGTTTGGACTAATTTAAAATCCTCGACGGAGTCAAAATTGTGCAAAAGCGCAGCAACCCTTTGGTTCGGAACAAATTCATGCGTGAGGTATATGACAGCGCCAAACCTGGGGGTTCGTCTCGAGGGGGTGTTTATAAAAAATATATATAAATTATATTTTATATGTTTATAAAAAAGAGCGAACACATCACCTGTCGCTGTCCCATATACCCGCATATGCATTTGCGCCGTATATGTCACGGCTTAGCCCTTATTTATCATTCAGAAAAAAAAACTACACTGATCTGAACCCCCTCGACGGGGTCAAAGTTGCATAAGAGTGCAGCGACCCTTTTGCTCGGAACAAATTCAAGCGTGAAGTGTGATTGCGCCAAACCTGGGGTTCGTTTCGACGGGTGAGGAAGAGCGGGGAGGTTCGCAATCGAGATGAAGGAATAATGGGTGTCTATAAAAAACAACAGTCTGTTGAGTGTTTTGAAGAAGAGGGCGCCAATCCTGGGTTTGACTGAATGGACAAAGTAACGAATGTGCACTACATCCGTGAACAGTACACCAGATACCCCAGAAAGATGCAAGCAATTCCAGGGGACAATCCCGAAATGAATATTGTCCCGGTAGTCACCATGTTCTAACTCCTATTTCTACCGAACCGTGAGGTTGCAAGTTCTGGGTCACTCAAGTGGAATGATCATTTACTGAAGTGACTGATAATTCTTCAAAGGTTAATTAAATAATTTAACTCAAAGCAGAGTATTGCTCCCCACTAATCGATGTTTAGAATCTCTCCTAGTGACCTCAAGCTGTGAACTGAATGCTCAACGAAAACCCCGTCCAATGCATTCTTCTTTTCTCAATAACAGCGACTCAGCAACTGTTTTTTAGATAGGCGAAAGCAAATCAGGCTCAAATCACTTTTGTGTAGTTTGCAGATATAATATATGACATTAGGTCGAGGTTTTTTGTGACAAAGTTCATGGAGCGTGACACGAGCTCGAAAAGCTGCGGCAGCCACACCGTTTTCGGGCTTGTGCTACGCTCCTTAGATTTTGTCAGCAAGAAGGTTTTAAAGGATAAGTTTACGTTGTAGTTTTCAGTAGTGACTTAAGCCTGATTCGTACATTCATTCGAGTGTAGTCGCTGTAAGCGAAAAATGCAGTAATCGAGAATTTGGCTTTTTTTCTCCGTTGTTTGAAGTTCTCATTTGACACATTGGCGACCAAGGCCTTATACGGGCCAGTCAACTTTTTTTGAATAAAATCACGCATAGTCTCATCTACAGTATATATACAGTAGCGCTTAAAGGCTGACAAAAGCAGTGGAAACCAACCATTTGTGTCGAGCGATCGTTGTTAGTGTCTTAAGCAGTTTCCAATGTAGCCAACATAGTGTAGTGTTTTGTATCGAATGAAAAGATCTAAAGAGGAAAGCTACCCAACTTAGCTCGGCCATTTGGCAAGGGACATAAATATATTCTGAATCAGCTTTAAATGCTGATTCCAAGTATGTTATTCCTAGCTGCCGCGCACCATTCCGAAGCGAGTCATGGACTTTTTTCTGCGCAAAATTGGCACGCTCATCGACTCATAGTTTGCAAGTTTCAATACTCCAAACATATATTCAAATTGTAATTTTTCTTATGTAAAACTATATTCTAGTGAGCGAAAGCCTTGATTAGATCACTAGAGGGCGAATCAGAGAAAAAATTCTGTGCTGATGTACACTATAGCTGACATATTTGCCTTCTTAACGTTCTATACCACGTTTTATAGTCTTGGTAAACTTACCTAGTCGTTGTAAGTAGTTTTTTTTTCACCATTATATTTCTCAGAAAAAATTAAAAATCACCGTCCACTTAGTGTGCAAGACAATTCAGATCCAAATTAGTTGTTATAATTAGTTTTTTCTTCTCATCATTTTAATTCTCAGAAAAGATTACCTAAAACCACCGTATACTTGATGTGCGGGACAATTCAGATCGTATCCTTAATTATGATGCACTTGGTTTTGTAGTCAATTTTTTTAATGATCAACACGCTTTTGAATTGGTTGCTATCCCAGTGAGACCTATAGAACTCTGGAAGATTTTACATTTTGACCTTTTTCATGCACTATATTTCAGTCAGCCTTATAGCAAATGTATTATTTAGGCGTCGACACATGTAGGAAACAATATAAATTGGTATATTCGAGTGACTTACTCGTTTTCATTCTAATTGAAGCATTTGCGAGTAAGTAAATCTGGATTTTCGTTGAAAACACTTTTACTGAGTGAGGAGAGACTTGAAATTTCACTTTGTTATCCTTTTTCAGATCACCCGGTGCATTGAAGATGCAGCTAAAAACACATTCCTTACCGTGCGTTTGTGAGAAATGTGGAAAAAGCTTCAGCAGACCGTGCTTATTGAAAGGTCGTAAGCGAACACATACAGGCAAATTTTTGAAAGTTGCTTACATGAGTTATAAAAATGCGCAAGTGACTTGTTTATACTTGTAAATAATTAAAATAATTTTTAAAATTTTTTGAAATTCAAATTAGCCTCGAAATTTTTTTCTTTTCGGGAGTGCGTGCCCCCCCCCCGGTCCGAAATCCTGGGATTGCCACTGGTATCTACTAGCAATTTTTCTCGTATCTTGATTTACTTCTTTTCAATTTTGATAACTCTTGTGGAGATATAATCAAAATGATCTGCTCGTTTTATAAATTCATTCAGGTGAGAAACCGTACGCTTGTTCGTTCTGTGGCCGAAATTTTGCTGATCGTAGCAAACTCAGGCACAATGACAAAAGATTTTCCTCAAAGCAAGAAACATAGGTGAATTTTTGTCCATTATCAGAAGTTCATAAGGCAATGTGTGTTGAGATGTGTCTACTGTAATCTGTCCTTTGCGCTCTAGTGCTGGAAAAACACAAAGCAGTTTGTCCCTCGAAAATTGATGAGAATTCGAGCTGATATTGTCAATGAAAAAGAAATAAAAATTATTTCATACCGTGTCTGTTTCTACCGAGACGAAAAAAAAGAGATGGGGAGTTTGGAGAAAAATGCTAATCAAGGCAACTATCACAAATTTTTTACATAAAGCTCACTTTGAAATGGAGCTTACCAATAAATTTATGTATACGATATCGATAAATCTTCCCATTCTCATCCATCACAACAATCGAAAAAGCGGTGTGCATCATTTTTGCATCTCAACTCAACTCGTCTAGGCTTACTTCAGTGTAATGAATCAACAAGCATTGAAAATGAACAAAGGCCCTGAACAGGATGAAAGAAGAACAAAGAGGAGGGTTGGTGAATTCCGCTTCTGAACGTCGCTTTTCTCCTGCGTTTAGTTGGCCGTGGATATGGATAGAGACATGGAAGAAGAAAAAGACACGAACAAGTCGCTTTCATGCTGTCGGAGAAAGCAAAATGTGAAAAGGGTATCAAGAAGAAGAGCTTCTAGAGGGAAGGGGGTAAAAGTATAGCTGATAACTTTCTTATAGACATGGCCCTCACTCTCCGTTCTTTAGCGTTCAAGGCGTTCTCGTTCACGCAAATCTAGGTCCAGGTCGAGAACAAGGCATAGCAGGAGTAGAAAAGGGCGAAGCAGAAGGCCCAGGCGATCGCGCAGAAGAAGCAGGAGAAGCAGAAAAAGTGGGAAGCGCGGTAGAAGCAGAAAAAGTCGCAGAAGATCAAGGAAATCAAGGAGGAGAAGAGGACGAAGTAGAAAGTCGAGAAGCAGAAGGTTGAGAAGAAGAAAGTCGAGGAGGAGCAGAAGATCAAAGAGCAGAAAATCAAGAAGAAGACGAAGAAGACGACGATCTAAAGCTGAGATCATAGCGGATAATCGAGAACAATTGACCAAATCACAAAGCTTGACTACTCCCAGCGCCAAAACCTTGCCAGATAAAGATGCAGCAATAGCAAATTTGGAGGCTCCAGTCACTCCGTATTCACCGATGAGGAAGGTGGGTGATTAGGAAATGTAACAGATATTCAATAGTCTTGATATGATACGCAGAGATTGGCGCTCGAGCATTTGTTATCGATGTAGCGCGAGTGGTGAGAGAGTTGAGGTTAATGCCTTTGTGTCTCTTGCCAACATGGGAAATCCTTTGTTTGGGATTAGACTGTAGTTCTAAGCAAGAGCGGAGATTCTAAGTGGCGGAAGATTTTGGAGAATTTCTCAGAACTAATACGTTGATAATGCGACCATCTTCTTGCTAACGCTAATTGTCACATCCCGGCCCCACCGCTGGAGGATGGGGTTTTCCGGAAAAAAGTTTGAATCTGCATACTATTATGTGCTGTTTTTCACTTGCGATATCTGCTACTATCTACTTAACCGCGACCCATCCACTTTCGAAAAAAAAGAAAAGTAAAAGTCAAAAAGAATTTCCCAAAGAATTTAGAATTTAGAGGGTGGTTTTGAACAAAATCATTAATGTCTCCAAATTGAACAACGCTAAATACTCTCTGGAAATTTTAGGATAAAAGGACCAGACCGAGCCAAGACGTAAGTAGATTATATAATCTGGTTTCATTTTAACTCAAGGAAAAAGAAATAGTTATTTGACGAGTTCGGATGCTGTAAGAGCTCTTCTGAAATCTAAGAGAATTACATCAAAAATAATCTATTCGAGAACATAATCTTGCATTTAGGGAGCTATTCTCAAAGCTGCACAGCCTGTCATAGAAAGAGATGTAAGTCGTACTGAACTCGAATTTTAACCATTTTGAGAACCCAATACCGCCGATGGGCCCTGCCTTCACCGACATCTGCTACTACCCTCAACAAGGACAAATATATCGGAGAGGCAGTGTCTAATCGACGTGTTCGTCCTTCTACACGGGATAAAGCCATCACATACCTCGCCAAACTGCGCCGCTACCGGCCCAGCAGCGGCACCGGAAAACATCGCATTTTGCATTGCGCTGCTCTAAATTTGCGTTTGCTGGCTGGCGGCATGTAAAACCAGTTGCGGACAACGTTAAGCTGAGTTGCCATGCGAGCGCTGTTCCAACACCTGACTTACTGGAACTGTTGCATGATTCGATCGAGCAGTAACTCAGTGTCGTCTCGGCACGACGCTAGCACGGCGCCGGCATGCAGTGGAGCTTGCCTCTTCGCCGAAACACGGGCAATCTTAGAAGTATTCATAATGATACACGTTGCCAGGTACGATTCGAACCAATGCGATCTCCAGACGAGCGTCCGAAGAAAGAAGACGATGCTCCGTCGACAGCTATCGACATTGGTTAGTCCTAAAAATTACCACCAATTATTGAGAGTCACTATTTCTAGAGCAAATTCTTTTATATTGAACAGACTTAATGACTTAGACTTTCCAAGATAATCCTTTGAGAATAAATCTGCATTTTTTGTGAATATCTACAATCTTTAAGATAGTTCGATAAAAAGGAGACGCCCGAAACCGCCAGCGTATCAGGCAGCAACAGGTGAGTTTTTGTGTTAGGCACAGCTCTGGCACGGCGCTGGAACGGCGCTGGAACGACAATTGGAAGGTTGGGATACTTTTATACAGAAGCAGCTGTGAGACGAGAACAAGTCATGCGCCAGAGAGAAGAAGAGAGATTCATGAGACCACCTACGGAAGAACCGGCAGTAGAGGTATGATTCGAATGATTCGCAATGATTCGTATAAATGTATCATAAATATTAAAAATTCTCCTTTTCTAGCAACCTGCTTTTCAACGTGTTCCCGATATGGTTCCTATTGAAGAAGGAATTGATCCAGATTATCCTGCCCAACGTATAGTTATCAGCAAGTTAGTTTTCTTACACTTAGAAGAGTTTGCATTACAAATAGCCTTTTTACAGTTTTGTCCGTAATGGGTGCCATATCAAACGTTGGCTATATGAAGATAGTTACCCACTGGACGCTCCAAGGCCTTCAATTTATGGTCTGACAGGAAAAGGCAGACAGTATGTCACAGCTTTATTTGGATAATCAAACGCGTCTTAGAAGCAGATCGGTATTTATGCCTTTGATCCCTTCTTTCCTTTAAAATTTTTGTATTGCTAGATTGAAAAAAAATTAAGGATATTTCATCTGATTAGAAATTTTTTAACTTTTTAGTTTTTACAAGTGTAATGAAATGAGCTAGAAAGACATTCTGCAGAAGAAACTAGTGGGACACTTCCGCTAATCCTTCGCGCAAACGGCATTCCATAGATTTTTGGCTTTAACCATCTGCCCAGACCATACTCTTTCCGAGCCAACCAATTAGCGTCTTCCATTACGGTAGACAGAATAATGTGGGCGAAAGTTTAAATTTACATTTTCTGGGCCAAGAATGAATTATATGAGCTGCAGTGGGGGCAGCTACTTACTTGAGCAACATATTTTTTCCACACGTATGAAATCCAGTACCAGCTTTGTCTGGCCTCATATATAAATTAATACCCTCATAGATTTATTGTTACAGATATCCGAATTGCTGTTGTGGAAGAAGAGGTTTGTGTTATGGATGCTGTGGCAGAGGTTCTACGTCAAAGGTATTTCATATCAGAATTTATTCTGTCCCCTATGACCTTGTCCAATTTTAGCAAAGAGGTTACATACAAGATAATTACGAAAATGATCGCATTCGAGGAGAATTACAACGTCTCGATGTAATACTGAAGAATCTCGAAGACTAACAAACTAACACAAGAAATGCACCTACGTTGTACTTGCATGAATAAAGAAAAAAATAAAACACAGTTTTAAGCACTAGATCTCATAAGCTCCACATTCTCGTTTTTCAAAATAGAGAGATCCTATTCAAACTTTGACAGTGACAGACAATAATCATTAGTGACGTTAACGATTCCAAAGGCATCGCGAACAAACTTTGATCATTAAATCACTCTCATTTTCTGCGTGATTGTGCTGTGCCCGAAGGTGTCACTAAAAGCAAGCGTAAATGCAGAAATAAATTTTTTGTAAGTGACCAGTTTACGCTGGATGGGCACATTTACCAGTCAGTCAGCAATGCTTTAATGAGCAGAGTGGTCAGCCAAACAGATATTTGGCAGAATGAAAAGTCGTACCTTCAAGTGATTTTCCGTATTGGGGCTAGATTTCACTTTCTAGGCACTGGAGCATTATCGCATACAATTTTTCCTTAGATGTCAAACCGCAAAAAAGCTTTTGTCTGGAAGCTTCTGAGTTTTCTGACGTAGTAGTCCTGAGATGTGGCTTATACAGAAGATTACTGAACTGTTTTAACATTTTCTTCGCTGCGAATACATGAATCTTTTTATGAATCTCGCGCTCCCTGTGAACAGGATAGAAGTTTGTTTGAAGCAGTCTTTATTCATCATAAGACACTGAGTACTTGAGAAGAGAATCTATTGATGGTAGGAAAAGGTTAAAAGAAAATTGTGATTTAGTGAGCGACTGCAGCCTGATCCTGCCTTTGGATGGTTACATTACCTGTGAAGGTAAAACTTCAGTTGCTGTATCGAGGTACAGAGGACCTTCATGAAATTGTGACGACGGATTCGACAGCGGTCTTTGCTTCTACCCAAGCGTCACAAAGATGGGTGCCAGGCACCCAGCCGAGGGCGTAGACTTCGCACCTGTCAATTTGTGGTTTACGCTAGGCCCTCCCCATATGCTTCAGCATCGACTACCTAACGATACATCTATTCTGTGAGAACAGCTCAATTTAAGGTATTTAAGGTACATTATCGTTGAAGAAAGCAAGGGCCCAGCTCGAGAGTGGCAATTGAACACCCGTGAAAAAAATCGCCTTCGCCATTCTTCGGTTAAGACTTCGCACTTGTTACTGCTATCTAGGTGTGGTGCGGAAGGCGCCAATCCCCAAGTTTGTGCGTCTCAAAAACTTCCCAGTGCAAAAGTGGCACAGCGCCCATCTACGGGGGTGGGGGACGGGGGCAGACACATACCTCGATACCATAAGTAAAATTCGGCAATAGTTAGCGGGAAGGATTCTACACTGCTTGCGATTTGTACGGATTGTTGCCTTCCGCGTGCTCCCCCCCCCCCTCCCCAAGTGCACAGAAACATCGTAGTCCCAGACTCTTCTTCCATGCTTCAAAGTTTCGCCATCGACGCCCACTTAACGTAAGTGGGCGAGACTGGTGGAAATTTGAAACACGATTTCAATACTTAGCCTACGAGCTGGAAGGTAGAAGTGGGTGTACGATGTACTTGAGTACCCTACTAGCTAACATAAAAATTTGCGAAGGATCAATTTAGCCGAGCCACTAAGCAAGCTGGATATCGTTTTTGGGACAAAAAGCAAAGGGAGTTTTGTTTTATGGCCGAATAGACAAAATTTGCGACGTTTTTTTTTGGTCGACGCTTCGTTTGGAGATTTTTTGGGATTATGGTTTACGTCAAAAGGGACCTCGTAAAATTTTGGGAAAGTTAAGGGGGACTTCGTTTCTTGCATTTTCCAAAAGCCACCTCGTGCCGAGCCCTGATTATCAATACAAATTGTTGCTATGAAGGTTTGATTCTCTCAATCTCCCCAAATTGTGAGTTTCTCGGAGGTTGTAAAACATATCTTCTAATGATAATCTTTTCCCTAGTGAAAGTAGGGATTCGACAGCTGAGCACATGATCAGTTACTCAAAATTCATGCATATTTTGTTGTCATTAAATGCATATTTCTCCTATAAGTCAGTAGAGTGGATGTATATAGTAATAGATAGCATAAGCTCTCAACGGTCTTTGAATCCCACACCTTACGTCTAAACAAATTCTGGCGTGACCGAAGGCGAATACACGCAGACGAATAACTTACAAAATGTTGGTGATGGAGATAATATTATTTTGAACTAGCTGGCTTTTCCGGTCCAGCCCGGGTCATTGCTCACCTGCAAGCAGTCCCCCCCCCCCTCTTATATGTTATGGATGACTTACCCTGGGACATCCGCTTTGAAACCGCATCCTTGTGATCCTGAGGTGAAAATGAGCTTCACCGCCCTTCTTTACATGACTATGGGAAAATGCTTGATTAAACATGATAAGCCTTCAATTCCTTAGAAAAACGTAAACAAATCAATAAATCGATAGAAAGACCCAGCGAATTCCAGTGAAAGGTAGCCTAAAACCGTCTCCGGGGTCGAAAACATCTGTGTCCAAACTTTCAGCCCAATCGGTTGAATGGCACGCGTTTCTATAACTCACATACCCTCCAAACAGACAATTTTTGAGTTTTATTTATATAGAGATGAGAGCACACGGAACTTCTTTGAAATGTGGTATGACACCATGCGGTAATAGTTTTTTTTTTGAAATGCGCTGAAAATGGAATACTTTTTGTTTCTGCATTCAATATGTAGAATTTCGCCGAATATGAATTCTTAACAGAGAGAGACAGGGACAGATTCTTCGAACATTACTGGAGCCATTTTCAATGTGAGAAAGCTTTATTAGCTTTATTTTTTATAGCTTTTATTTTAGCTTTTTTTATAGCGTTATGTGCACACGAGATGAAAAGAAAGCTACAGCAAAATTGTTCAACGGCTGCAGTCGCATAGACGTTACATGTGTTTATTAGCTACAATTTGATGCATTTAGCACATTTGTTTAGGAAAACCAGACTGCAAATGCAGAGCACAAAATTTACGAACTTCACCAGTAAAGAGCTTACAGTGCAACAATTAGAGATGGCTGTAATGTATCCGGGAAGCTGTGCTAAATTTTTTTCAGCAAAACATTAGCACTGAAACTCTAAAAGAAACCCGCTCTCCCATATTTGACATTTCCAGAATCTCCTTGTTGAAGAAGCATCAAATTATACGCAAATCGTATAAAATGTGGATGATCCGGAATACGGATGACTATGACCCATTCTTTGAGTGCCGAGTCTCGAGTTCGTTGAATGCAGTGGTGGTCAGGGAGAAATTTTATTTGGAGACGTGATGCGACAAAAACTTTTCCGATTGATGAGGCCAAACGTGTGGTAAGCCATACTGTCCAAAAAACTTTTGAGATGGCGAGACTTTTTAGTAGGCCTATCGAAATTTTGAAATAAAAGGAAAATTTTTTGCAAAGCCAAGTCAAAGTTGAATATTAGGACAAATTTGTAAGCCATATAGGTTGCTTCCAAAATTCACCCAAACTTTTCGGTCCGCTATTGGTCAAATGGTGAGAAATCTTTCCACAAGAGCATACCTGGGTGCTAGTAACCTGGGCTGACGTTCATTACGGTTGGGCTTTGACGCATATGTATATGGCGTGACATAATTTTTACAGTAGACGTTCCGAGCAGTTTTTCACACGGGAAGTACTCTCCTATAGAAAATATCGGTCCTTTCTAGTTTTGATTTGTTGCGTCAGAAATGAGAGAATTTGAAAGCATATTTTGGGTTGTGCCTAGCACATTTAGGGCGTTTTTTGACATTACAAGATTAAGTGATATGGAATTGTTTATATGACATCCCTTACCAAACGAAAACGATTACAAACGATTATTACATACGACTAATCAACAAAACAATCAATAAGTTTTTTTTTATTTTACTGTTCACTCCTATTGTCACTCATTCAAATCGTTAGGTCATCCTTATAAAAATGTTCAAGCGTCCAGGTAGGTCAAAAATTGCTTGATAATGACTAAGAGCGCTAACAAATAAGTGAACTCCTCATTCCTTTTGCCATATGGTTGTTGAAAAAGAAGCGCTTTTTCCACAACACCCGGAAGGTGGAATCGAACCACTGCGGCTGCTAACCGCCTACAGGTTTGAAGCCTGCACCCCGGACCACCGAAGTTCATCCGGGCGAAAGCGCACCGCCTGTCGCTGCCTCATATACCCGCCCGTACATAAGCGCCGTACATGCCACTGCTGACTTATTCCTCATACAGAGGAAGTTTGGACCAATTTAAACCCCCCTCGACGGGGTCAAAATTCATAAAAGCGCAGCGATCCTTTTGCTCGGAACGAAATCAAGAGTGACGCGTGACGGCGCTAAGCCTGGAGTCGCGATGGGTGAGGAAGAACGGAGAAGTTCATAATTGAGGAAAAGGAATAAAGGGTTTCCATAAAAAAACAGTTTGTTGAGTGTTTTGAAGAAGAGGGCGGCAATCCTGGGTTTGGCTGAATAGACAAAGTAACGCATTTACTGAAGTGATTGATTATGCTTCAAAGATTAATTATATAACTTCACCTTAAAGCAAAGTCTTATTCCCCACTAATCGATATTTAGAATCTCTCCCAGTAACCTCAAGCTATGAACTGAATGCTCAGCGAAAATTCCGTCTAAAGCATTCTTCGCTTTTTATTGGCAGCGCTTGAGCAAGTGTTTTTGAGATCAAAAGCAAATCAGGCTCAAATAACCTTTGTGGATTTTGCAAGTAAATGAATTATGACATTGTATCAAGTATTTTCCTTTACAAAATTCATGGAGCTTGACACGAGCCCGAAAAGCCGCGGCAGCCACACCGTTTCCGAGCTCGTGTGATGCTGTGATGCACCTTAGATTTTGTCATAGAGAAAGTTTCAGGGAATAGTTTATATTTTAGCTTACGTTGTAGTTTTCAGTAGTGACTTGAGCCTGATTCGCTTGACAAGGAAAGGCACCTAACTAGGTCAGCCTTTTGATGAACCCACATACAGGGTGTCCCAAAAAAATGTGCCTACTGTTTGATTTTGTAATAACTCTCATGTAATGAAGTCTTTCAAGAAGCTTTGAGCACCGTTTTGCAGAGCTGGCATCAACTTAGATTTACAGTATAGAGCGAAT